CACTTTTGGCTCTAAGAGCAGCCCGCGTATTTTCGACACATTTGCAGAGGCTTTATGTTGGTTGTTGCTAAATGTTTACAAATGTCCCTCTGTGATTCACTATTTAGACGATTTCCTCACAATTGAGAACAACACAAGTCCACCCACAAGTTTAAAACACATGTTGGCATTATTTGAGTCACTTTCTGTTCCAGTCTCCCCACACAAGACCCTGGGGCCCGCAACCCAGATGCAATTTTTAGGGATACAACTAGACACAGTACACATGCAGGCTAGCCTCCCTCATGAGAAAATTGAGCGTATCCTGGCAAGTATTGACCACTACCTACAGCAAGGCCGTTGCACTAAGAAAGACCTACAATCATTGCTGGGATCGCTTAATTTTGCAATGAGAATCATTCCCCAGGGGAGATAATTTATTTCACATTTGCTATCACTATTTCCACAATTCACCTCAGACACATCTTACATTTCACTAGACACGGGGTTTGCAGCCATATGGGGTGACCTATGGCTCGTGGGGCCATGGCCAACTGAGGTCAAATCACTCACAAAATTCACAGAGACCTCAGCTTTATTCGAATTGTACCCCATCATGGCTGCGGCCGTTACCTGGGGTCCCCCCTTTAATTAATTATGGTCCCCACCTGTCAGTCATGGGTGGGGATCAGGGGGGCATTATGTCCCCCCTCTAATTTATTAGGGTCCCGACCCGCTGCTCATGGGTGGAGTCCTGAGGGGGACATTAGGTCCCCCCATTATTTATTTATTTAGGGTCCCCATCCGTCACTCATGGGTAGGGACCTAGGGGGGACATTAGGTCCCCCCATTATTTATTTATTTAGGGTCCCCACCCGTCGCTCATGGGTGGGGACCTGGGTGGGACATTATGTCACCCTCATTATTTATTTAATTAGCGTCCCCACCTGCTGCTCATGAGTGGGGACCAGGGGGGATATTAGGTCCCTCTTTAATTTAGTAGGGTTCCCACCCACCACTCATGGGTGGGGACATGGGGGGGACATTAGGTCCATCCCATTATTTATTTAATTAAGGCCCCCACCCGTCTCTTATGGATGGGGACCACGGGGGACATTAGGTCCCCTGTTTATATTAATAGACCCCACCTGCTGATCATGGGTGGGGGTGCAGGGGGGAACTATGCCCACGGGTATTTGTGTTTCCCACCATGGGGAATAGCTGCCCAGTCACTAGTACTTTTAAATTTGTTTAGGCAACATGCCCCTACTTGCGGAAAGCCGCGAGGAGGGGCATGCGGGAGGATTTAACCTCACTTTTATCAAATGGGGGTCATAGTCAGAAGGGCTCACAGTTCTTTCTTTGCATGTGAAATTTTACAGATAGCATCCATCCTTTCTGGAGGTAATTTACAAAGTCCTTCAAATAAAACATATCCCACATTTGTGGCTGGGCAATAATAGCTCTCTTTTCTAAACAAGTTTATATCCACACTGGTATAGATGTTGCAGCAGTGGAACACGTTATTTAACATTGTCTTATCCGATAGGACTGGTAATCAATAAATCATCCATATACTGGACCAGCACAGTGGCAGTGGTGTGAGTACATAATGCTAAGTTCTTGCTCAAATGTCTACCAAAAATAGATGGAGACTCTTTGTATCCCCAAGGCCAGGTAAGCTGATGCTTCTGTGTCTTTACTGTATCTTCTTATTCAATGGCAAATAATAATTGACTTTCCTTGGACACTGAGATACAAAAGAAAGTGTATTTAAGTCCATTGTAGTAAAATAGCAATATTCCCCCCTAACACTGGACATTGCTGTATGGGAATTATGAACTATCCTTACATTTTTATAGCATGATCTAACTAATAGTGCTCAAGTCCTCCACCAGCTGATATAAAGTCCTTATAGTAATGGAGTCCATGTCTGATGCTTAAAGGAGTAGTTCATTTGAGAAATAGTTGACATCCCTTAGTGATAAAGGTCTGTATCACAGGCTGTAACTCTAATTCTTTGAATGCCTCCAGGCCTTGATGCTATTATCCACGTTTCACAGGCTGGGCAGATGATATCAATACAATAGTCACATATATGACATTTTTTGCCCAAGTATCAGGAGAAATATTGGAGAGAATCTCCTGCTGAAGGTGCTTGCTGCTCACTCATGGGCAGCATCGGATCAGTGGGAAAATTAACCTTGATATGATCACATGAAAGGATATGTCACATAACGCTTTAGATCACATATTTATTCTCCAACAACACAAATTCATATTTTTTAACTCTTTGTCTCTGGATTGAAATACCTAGGAGTTCCAGTACTGGTGTATTATTTCTATAATAGATTATGTAATCTGGATATTTAGCACTTTAGTTAATGGCTCAAATAATTTTTCAACAGCAAATACTCAACATAACAATAAAATTCTACAGGTATTTTACAGGATAATAGATTTTGATTAATATCTGAGTTGCAACAAATTAATTTATCAACAATTACAAAATTTATAGTTATTGCATATTTTCAATCTGAGCTGCAGAGACAGATTTCAAATATACAGAGCCTGTAATCGCAAACAGGGATAAAATTATTGGAAATGTTGAATCTTGTAACTTTTATTCTTATATAAAACATCAATCACAGAACAACATAAAGAATTATAAAAATAAAAGTTCTCGGACATAAACAACAAATATACCTTTATCATCATATAATATCTTCATCAGACATATTATGTGGTATTTTATAATTTTGCAAAGAATGAAACTATGTAATAACATCAGATCTCTAATCTGTGAAATTGACTGGACAATCTGATTACAGATAATAGAAATGCTGACTATTAAAGGTCCATCCCATGTTTCAACAGACAATGGAGGAGTGTATTATTATTATTATTATTATGGTATTGCTACATAGTTACATAGTTACATAGCTGAAAAGAGACTTGCGTCCATCAAGTTCAGCCTTCCTCACATATGTTTTTGCTGTTGATCCAAATCATTATTATAAGTTTATTATTTATATAGCCTACAAAATTCCATAGCTCTGTACAATGGTATTGAATAGAGATGAGCGGACACCTGGATGTTCAGGTTCGCCGAGTTCGGCCGAACATCAGCAAAAAGTTTGAGTTCGGCCTCGGACTTGACCCCGGAACCAAACCCCATTGACGTGAATGGAGACCCGAACTTTTAGGCACTAAAATGGCTCTAAAAAAGTCCTGGAAAGGGCTAGGGGGCTGCAAAAGGAAGTAAAATTGGGGTGAGAGTAGGACAAGTGCCCTGCAAACAAATGTGGATAGGGAAATAACTTAAAATAACATAAAATACATAAAAAATTTAAATAATAATCTTGAACTAGGAGGAGGAGGTTGATGTGGAGTAGGAGGTTGAGGAGGCGGTGACCGTGGCGGTGGAGGAGGAGAAGGAAGCCAACACTGTTTTTATTTGTTTGTTGTTAGTTTAGTTTTTTGTTTTTTTTTTTAATTGGGGTAGCCCCCAAAATATTGGGACATATAAAAAAAGAAACATTTGTGGCCTGCGGTGCATTTCTTGCAGTCCAATAACACCATCAGGTTTTTAAAACTGTCCGTCTCCACCAGACGGAATGACAGCATTTTAAAGGCCAGGAATTTTGAAATGCTGGCATTCAGGGACAGGGATCGCGGTTGGGTAGGGGGGCACTTCCTCTTTCTCTCTAGTGGTTGGGAGGTGGACAGCTGAACGCTTCCATGGGACAATGTGGAGATGCTTGGGGACGATGGTGAACGTGGTGGCATTGCTGCCACATCCTCTGTTTGCGGGGTGGAGGAAGAGGTGGAGGAAGAGGCCGAGACAGCAGCAGAAGAGGAAGCAGGAGGAGCCTGAGACCTTTCTTGGTTTTTGAGGTGCTTACTCCACTGCAGCTCGTGCTTTGCATGTAAATGCCTGGTCATGCAGGTTGTGCTCAGGTTTAGAACATTTATGCCTTGCTTCAGGCTCTGATTGCACAGCGTGCAAACCACTAATGTCTTGTCATCAGCACATTGTCTGAAGAACTACCACGCCAGGGAACTCCTTGGAGCTGGCTTTGGTGTGCTCGGTTCCTGGGTGCAGTGGGCAGTAGCAGGCATACTGTCTAGGGGACGGCTGCTCCGCTTTTGCACCCTGCTCTAGGAGGAGGAGGTGGATGTGGAGTAGGAGGTTGAGGAGGCGGTGACCATGGCGGTGTAAGTTGAAGCGGCCATGGAGGAGGTAGCCAACACTGTTTTTTATTTGTTTATTTTTTTTATTTTTTTATTTTAATTTTATTGGGGTAGCCCCCAAAATATTGGGACATATAAAAAAAGAAAACAAAGAATAAGTGCACTTGAGTATAACAATGGTTGGGTAAGGCCGGTATAAATGTCTATTCTGCACAAGGTACAGACAAGTCTGGTGGGATCCATGCCTGGTTCATTTTAATAAACGTGAGCTTGTCCACATTGGCTATGGACAGGCAGCTGCGTTTGTCTGTGATAACGCCCCCTGCTGTGCTAAACACACGTTCATACAATACACTGGCTGCAGGGCAGGCCAGCACCTCCAAGGCATAAAGGGCAAGCTCAGGCCATGTGCCCAATTTGGAGACCCAGAAGTTGAATGGGGCAGACCCATCAGTCAGTACGTGTAGGCGTGTGCACACGTACTGTTCCACCATGTTGCTGAAATGCTGCCTCCTGCTAAGACATTCCATATCAGCTGGTGGTGCTGGTTGTTGTGGCATGCTGACAAAGCTTTTCCACATTTCGGCCATGCTAACCCTGCCTTGTGAGGTGCTGGCGGTGCCCCAGCTGCGTTGGCGACCTCTTCCTCCTCCTCTGCCTTCGCCTTGTGCTTCCACTAGCCCCCGGTGCTAGTTGGGAATGCCCTCAGCAGCGCAGAATTAAGGACGCCACGTTGTCCTTGTAACGGGGATCCAGAAGGGTGGCCACCCAGTAATCAGCACAAGTTAGAATGGGCAACTCAGGAGTCGCTGGGCAGACGCTTTGGTGACTCTAGATAACCTCGGGCAGATCGCACGTCCCCGTGACGGCGACGACACATTCGGATGTCTGCCCTATCACATGGTGACCACGGGTAACGGGGAATCAGGGTTCGATTCCGGAGAGGGAGCCTGAGAAACGGCTACCACATCTGACGTGGGGAGGTAGTGATGAAAAATAACAATACAGGACTCTTTCGAGTCCCTGTAATTGGAATGAGTACACTTTAAATCCTTTTACGAGGATCTATTGGAGGGGAAGTCTGGTGAGGCTGACCCGTGCGTGCTGCAGCTGAAACTCCACTGTCACCTGCTGCTGCTCGCACAGTCTCTCCAGCATGTGCAAGGTGGAGTTCCACTTTGTGGTCACGTCGCAAATGAGGCGGTGAGCGGGAAGGCCGAAGTTACACTGCAGCACAGACAGGCGAGCAGCAGCAAGGTGAGAACGCCGAAAGCGTGCACAGCCGCTACAGTGAAACTGTGAATGGCTCATTAAATCAGTTATGGTTCCTTTGATCGCTCCATCTGTTACTTGGATAACTGTGGTAATTCTAGAGCTAAAACATGCCGACGAGCACTGGAAGACGTCCGCTCCGCTTTTGCACCCATTTGCAAAAAAAATTCTCACCCATCTTCTGTGGGTTATTGCATTTTTAAGATGTAGACTTATTGTATCACACTAGCCATGCACAGGTAGATTGTCTGGCATGTTGTTTTGGTGTTTGGTTTTTAACTTCGTAGTTGTGTCTTTACACAATATAGAAATGGATATTAATGCTTCTTTATATGAAGCGATCACAATAACACTTATTTTTCAAAAAAATTTTTTTTAAAAAAAATCAGGCTAAACAAAAATTGGTAATTAACAATATGACATCTGAAAAGCACATGAAAGGATGCTGTATGATTTTTAAAAAAAGAACACACTACATGAAGGTCCTGTTCACTAAAGTGTGTAGTCATGAATGTAACCAGTAAAACTTTGTTTTAACAGCCCCTGGTTGGCCCATACATATTTTAAAACTTGTTTAATTTTGTTATAGCATGACTTGTAGTCTTGTTTTTAACTTGTCTATAATGCCATATTTTTGTATGACACTCAGTGTGTTTAATGGTCTAAGATAATTAACATAAAATCTAGCCTAATAAAAGTTAGTGAGGCAAACATAGAGTCCGTTTGGGCTACGTTAGAATTTGGTAATCACACAGTAACTCGTGTAGGTGTGATTTATAGGCCCCCAGGACAAATTGAAGAGTTAGATAATCTACTAGTTGAGGAAATAGCTAAAATGACAATGAAGGGGAAGTTATCATCATGGGTGACTTTAATCTTCCTGATGTAAATTGGAAAACAAAATTAGCTACTTGTGCCAGGAGCACACATATTCTAAACTCCCTACTGGGATTGTCTCTAAAACAAGTGTTGAGGAGCCAACTCATAAAGAGGCCATACTAGATTTAGTGTTAACAAATGGAGATTTGGTATCAGATGTTACTGTAGGTGAAAGTTTAGGATCCAGTGATCATCAGTCAGTGTGGTTTAATATAAGAACAGTGACTGAGTCACACCACACAAAAACAAAAGTTTTAGACTTTAGAAAAACAGACTTTTCTAAAATTAGAATATGGGTAGAGGAGTCATTATCAGACTGGAGCAATTTAAATGGAGTCCAAGAGAAATGGGATTATTTAAAAGTTGCACTATTGAAGGCAACAGAAAATTGCATTAGGCTTGTCAGTAAAAGCAAAAAATTCAAGAAACCACTGTGGTACTCCGCAGATGTGGCCAAAACAAAAAAAGCTAGCATTTCTAGGAAACCCAGAGTGAGGGAGACAAAAAATGATCTATAAGATTAGGCAGAAAGAGGCTAAGCAAGTTATAAGAGCTTCCAAATCACACACAGAAGAGAAAATAGCACAGTCAGTAAAAAAGGGGATAAAACATTTTTTAGATACATAAATGAGAAAAGAAAAGTAAAACAAGGATTAGTTAGATTAAAAACAAAAGAAGGAAGGTATGTAGAAGAGGATAAAGGTCAGGCTGACTGCCTCAATGAATATTTTTGTTCTGTATTTACAGAAGAAAATGAAGGAAAGGGACCTCAGTTGAGAAAAAGGATAAATGAGTCATTTATTACACGTGAGTTTACAGAGGAAGAGGTTCTATTTCAACTGTCAAAAGTAAAGACAAATAAGTCAATGGGACCTGATGGAATACACCCAAAGCTATTAAAAGAGCTTAGTGGTGTACTAACAAAACCATTAGACGATTTTAATCAATCATTGTTAACAGGAGTAGTCCCAGAAGATTGAAGAAGCGAATGTTGTGCCCATTTACAAGAAAGGTAATAGGGAGGAGTCGGGCAACTATAGGCCAGTAAGCCTTACTTCAGTAGTGGGGAAAGTGATGGAAACCATGTTAAAGGATAGGATTGATGAACATCTAAAAACACATGGATTTCAAGATCAGAGACAACATGGGTTTACTTCAGGGAGATCATGCCAAACTAATCTTATTGATATTTTTGATTGGGTAACTAAAATTATAGATCAGGGTGGTGCAGTAGACATTGCTTACCTAGATTTCAGTAAGGCTTTTGACACTGTTGCACATAGAAGGCTTATCAATAAACTGCAATCTTTAAGTTTGGATTCCAATATTGTTGAATGGGTAAGGCAGTGGCTGAGTGACAGGCAACAGAGGGTTGTAGTTAATGGAATATATTCGAAGCTTGGACTTGTCACCAGTGGGGTACCTCAGGGATCTGTACTTGACCCATTCTCTTTAATATTTTTATTAGTGATATTGCAGAAGGTCTTGATGGTAAGGTATGTATTTTTGTTGATGATACTAAGATATGTAACAGGGTTGATGTTCCAGGAGGGATAAGCCAAATGACAAATGATTTAGGTAAACTAGAAAAATGGTCAGAATTGTGGCAACTGACATTTAATGTGATAAGTGCAAGATAATGCATCTTGGACGTAAAAACCCAAGGGCAGAGTACAGAATATTTGATAGAGTTCTAACCTCAACATATGAGGAAAGGGATTTAGGGGTGATTATTTCTGATGACTTTAAGGTAGGCAGACAATGTAATAGAGCAGCAGGAAATGCTAGCAGAATGCTTGGTTGTATAGGGAGAGGCATTAGCAGTAGAAAGAGGGAAGTGCTCATGCCATTGTACAGAACACTGGTGAGACCTCACTTGGAGTATTGTACACAGTACTGAGACCGTATCTTCAGAAGGATATTGATACCTTAGAGAGGGTTCAGAGAAGGGCTACTAAACTGGTTCATGGATTGCGGGATAAAACTTACCAGGAAAGGTTAAAGGATCTTAACATGTATAGCTTGGAGGAAAGACGAGACAGGGGATATGATAGAAACATTTAAATATATAAAGGGAATCAACACAGTAAAGGAGGAGACTATATTTAAAAGAAGAAAACTACCACAACAAGAGGACATAGTCTTAAATTAGAGGGACAAAGGTTTAAAAATAATATCAGGAAGTATTACTTTACTGAGGGTAGTGGATGCATGGAATAGCCTTCCAGCTGAAGTGGTAGAGGTTAACACAGTAAAGGAGTTTAAGCATGCATGGGATAGGCATAAGGCTATCCTAACTATAAGATAAGGCTAGGGACTAATGAAAGTTTTTAGAAAATTGGGCAGACTAGATGGGCCGAATGGTTCTTATCTGCCGTCACATTCTATGTTTCTATGTTTCTATGTCAACAGGCAAACATAACCCGAATGATTTGTCTCAGTCTTGCCTTCTATACTACCTACACCATAGGCAACATTTATTTGTCTTTAGACTTTCTTGAGAAGCGCACCCCAAATGTACTATTTAGCACCAAAAAAAATTGAATTTTAAAACTGCGATGTAACCACAGTATTTGACGGTTCTATTTGACTCTCAGATATGAAGTGCATACCCCAAATGGACTATTTAGAACCAAAAAAATTGAATTTATCAAAGTGCCATGTAACCACAGTATTTGACGGTTCTATTTGACTCTCAGATATGAAGTGTACCGGAGGCCGCAAATGTACTATTTAGCACAAAAAAAGTGTGGTTTGTTAAACCAACAATGTAACAGTAGTATTTAAGGGTTTTATTGGACTGCAAGAAATGCACCTCAGGCCGCAAATCTACTATTTAGCACAAAAAGAGTGAGTTTTTTTTAAACCAACAATGTAACAGTAGCATTTAAGGGTTTTATTAGACTGCAAGAAAGGCAGTACGCAAATGTACTATTTAGCACCAAAAAAATTGCAGTATTTAAAAATGCCTAGATGTTGCCCACTGAGCTACCAGAACAGGATTAAAGTAATGTGCCTGGCACACATGCAATTGCAAGTGCACTGCACTCTCTGTGGCACTGGGCTCAGGGCAGGGTACAAAAATGTAGTATTTCACCCACAAAAATAAAATCGCTGTAGTTTGCAGATTCAACACCAGAATTCTTTCCTAATCTGTCCCTCACAGCTGCAGCATCCTCTCCCTACACTAATAAGAGCTTATGTGACGTGCGGCGCTACGTGACTCCAGCTTATATATAGAGGCTGGGTCACATGCTGCACTGGCCAGTTACAGCCATGCCATTAGTAGGCATGGCTGTGATGGCTTCTATGGGCACACGAGTCAAACGCTTGTTGATTGGCTGCCCTACAGCCTTTCAAAATGCCCCATTAAATCGCCAAACACCGAACTCCAACCCGAACATACACTGAAATGTCCGTGTTCGGGTCCGGGGTCCAAAAACCATAATATTCGGTACGAACCCGAACTTTCCAGTTCGGGTTCGCTCATCTCTAGTATTGAATTAACACGAGGAATGGGTTATGGTGCTTAGTCATTGTTGCCTACCCATTGATGACTATGGTCCCACCTTTGGGGCAGGGTTCATAGGAAGGGCTGGAGTCATAGGATGAGTGATAAGATAGGTGGAGTTAACTAGGTCTGCCTTTTTGGGGACAGTCTTGACGTTAGTGCCTGCTCTGACCACAGTTAAAACATTGGCTACACAATCTTGGATGCTCCTTGTCTCTCATCGTGATTCATAGAAATACTCTCATTCTCTTTTTTTTTTTTTTTTGGAAGCATTCTCCAGCTTCCAGCACATAAGTCATAAATTCACCCTGGGA